GGGAAGAAAAGGAGAGGGAAAGAAAGGAAGTGGAGGTGGAAGAGGAGAGAAGGCAAGAAAGGGGAAAAGCAGTGAGAGATAGAGGGTCAGATGGAAAAGAAGGGAGAGGCTGAGTGTTTGTGTGCATCAGTGATCAGGGTCAGTACAAGGTGCTGAGCACAAGGGATCTAAACACAGATAAAGAGATCAGGAAGGCAAGGCTGAGCGGACTGGAACTTAAAGTATAATCAGTTTTCTCATTGGAGAAAAATGACCTGACACTGACCACTCTAGTGCAATCCAGTTGGCTGGAAACAACAATGATCTTCCTCTCAACACTGCTCCAGTGTTGTTACATTCACATAATTTGTGCCCACAGCTCACCAGGTGAGATGTTTGTGTGTTTACGTGCATGTGTTTCAGAGCTACGATGCCCAGAGTGGGCAGAGGACTGAGATGAGGCAGACTTTTACAGGAAGGTAAAATTCAAATGAGTTACACTCACTGATCAAGATTAGAGCCGCTGCCGCAAACTGCTAAATCTGTACTTAACTTGTAATCTGTAAATAATACTGCTTTGATAGTAACAGCTCCCAGCATGATCAACTCACAGACTCTTCTTTGTGGTCATCCCTGAGGACAGCGTAGGAGACCCTGTAGCTCTGTACACGGGGGTCATCCATCTCCCATGATGCCTCTAAGCTTTGGGTGGTCTCATCGCTCAGCTGAAGGTTCCTCACAGCTTGACGTGCCACTGCCACACCACATCACAGACAACAGTCAATGAGTTAAACTAAGATGTATATATCAAAATTTAACCCAAAAAAATTTCTTGAATTAATTTACATTTTCCTCACACCTTGTGTGATCTAACTATGTGGTTTGTTAAACAGTAGATCACAAAAATATCAGTCAAAACGCCAGTGTGCTGAAGTAACAGCTACTGTAAGAGTGCCCAGATGCCCTGTCAGTTACTGTATGACGCACTGGATGGGAGAATCAAGCTGCAGTAAAATCTAGCACAAGTGGGGTGTATTGGTTTTGAAAAAAAGCTTGTTTTTTGATTCAGTCTCAATAACGGGTTGAACCCAAAGCTAACACGCCCTATGAGTCCTCTTTGGAGGCCCCATACATACCATAATGCTGCCATGAACTACAAGCCTTCATTTTTAAAAACACAGGCAAATCACAGACTTTTAGTTGGCCACTTTAAATTGGGACTATCACAGGATACATGATAAAATAAAGCAGATGTGCTGTTATGTTTCCAGGTATAGAGAAGGGACCTACTGTAAGTAAAGGAGATGTTACTACTTTTTTGTTAGTGTGTTCATTTTTGGAGCCATGGGTGAACTGATATGACTCAATTTGCTGTAGCCTGCTCCTCAGACACAGCATAATCCAGACAACCTGCAGGTCACCTCTGAGATAATGGAGTTTGAACAACACTCTCTGGGTGAAAAGCTCTTGGTAAACACATTTATACAAAAGTTCTTCCAAACTTAACTTCATGACATCTATCTTGCTAGAAAATCAGTGTTTCAGTTGTAAGTTCATCAGTCTTAGAAGAGATAGAGCAGAGCTTTTCTGAGCCCTCAGTAACTCTAGTTAAATGAGCAACAAAGACAGAAACTCTTCTACAGGAACTTGCTAAGACTGTGGTTGCTCTCTGGCAACATCAGCATGAGCTGGCAACCAGCAGAGCCTTTCACATTTTAGTAGCAGCAGACGTTCTGGGCAGATGTTTTGGCTTGGGCCATGATTAAAATCTGGCCAGTCTCTCTGCAGGGATCATTTTCTTTTAAGAAAATACCACTTGAACTTCTGCTCGCTGGACACATACAGCTAAATTATTTAAAGCAACACTCTTAAGTTTTTAACATTACTAACAAAAAAATGAATTTCATGGCACACATTTAAACCAATGTGATGTGTCCAATTGTATCAAACCTTTCCAGTAAATGCTTGGTTATTATTACACATGAAGTATTGAGAGTGGGATCCTTTGGACGCTGTTGTGGAATTTTACACAAAAACAATCTGGACACTTTTTACCTGTGGTTGTGGAAGCAACTGTTGTTGTCTGGGCCACTGGGGAAATGCAGAGAGCATAAGTCAGATAATTTTTTGTGAACTCTTTTAATCAACTCTCAATCTCAGTAACTGAAGTAATTAGAGAGACCTGTAACAAATCACTGAAAATTGATTTTATTCTTCTGAGAAAAGCTGGGGCAAAACCAATCCACACAAATGAGCTCATGCAGAGCTAAGCTTTGAACTCGGAAATGCAAATTTTTATTATGTTAAAAGGCATGTGTGCTCGGACTTGGCTGTTATTCTCAGCAGACACTTTGGTGAAGAGGGTTAAGTTATGTCACAGGCTAATTTCAACATCAGTGCAACCAAGGGAAATTTATTTTGAAATACCACTTACCTCTGGAAAAGTTTTTAGACTCTGACTTTTGTCACGTTCTGTATTGATTAGATAAAGCAAATATCACAGCTGCCTGAGTAGGCAGCACAGCTGTGCATGCTGCTCATTAAACAGTGTGCTGTCACTTACATGTCGTCTCCATCACAGAGATGGTGTCACTCTCAGATTCATCGCTGAATATGGCCGTCAGCATCACTTCGTACTCAGTAGACGGACTCAGATCGCTCAGAGTGTATCTGTTATCACTTCCACTCAAGATCACCTGTGTACAAGAAACGCACGTCTAATTTTCATATTACATTTAACACTCAGCAATACCTTCTTTGCAAAATTTACTTTTGAGGCTAGTATTTCCAAAAACTGCTCCTGCTGTTTTCAGCAGTATTTTCTGTATTTCTAAATTGCTTTGTATAAGCATAAAAACAATCCAGCTCACTGTGTATTAAATTTTGTCATGTTTTTCACACTGTGCTGACAACTTTTTAGGACACCTCCTTCTGTTTTGTACTTTGGTTTGCTGTTACTATAAAAAAATAGAATAGTTTCCTCAAGATGTGACCAACAATCTGGGCATTGAGCAACAGTCTGACAATATCATTTATACTTTAAGTGGAAGCCCAGATTTTCAAAACCATGGTCATCACTATGTATTAGCAGGGAGAGCTGCTAAAATCATAAAACAACAAATCACCTCAGTGCGCAGACTTCAGTGATGAAAACAGCAGGACATGGTGATGCAAAAATCTGCTATGTATGAAAACAATTCATACTTTTTACACTGATTTAGTTGTAATACTGCATTGAATAAATATTCAAGTACACAGCATTTAAATGCACCTAATACTCTTATGTAAAACTAATTAAGCCACTTACAGGCACTATAAATATGAGAGCGGCAATAACAGTAATTCAGAAACGTGAGGACAGCCGGTTGGATCGACTACTGCTGGAGGAGGCCCAACTACCACTGCAATTTATGACACACAAACAAATCAGATCCCAAGGTAAACACAAAGAGGTCATCAGAAGTACAGCTCACTTCCATGGAGCACACCTCTGAAATTCACTGTACATGACTCAATAACCAGTTTGTGTCTTTACAGATCCTCTGAGGCACAGTTACATGCAAATTTTACAGATGAAACTGGAGATCCCTGATTTCCCTGGAGAACGTGCATCTCTACCACTTCATTCTCTGCCTTTAGTTTTGGGGGGTTTTTTTTGGAATTTCTTGCATTTAGTGAGATGTATCTCCATATTTTATTTATAGTACTGTTTCCTTAATGTAGCATTTCCCTCAGTAATATTTGTATGATTAAAGACTATCAAACATTTTGATTAACCAACAAGCACTAAAGGATCAGAACTCTGCTTTCAAAAAGATTTCAGGATGGCAGCAAAACTAACAATGGTTATTCCCTCATCAAATGGATTTCTAGATTATCCAGTTTTAATCTTTCACTTGGTTTGTGTATCTATTGGACTGCATTATGTTTAATCTCCTCTGTGATATTAAAATACAGAGCAGTCGGAAAAGGACGCAAATATGTGTGTCTGTGTGCACACGTGTACAGTATGCAGGTGAAAGACAGATAAAAGCTGTGTATCCCTTTCTCTACACTGGCAGTATTATCAGCCCACCTCTCCAACTCCCCAGAATGTTATTTTCAGCTCTGATGACTCTCAGCAAAACACACAAACACACACACACTTTTACCGACCTGTGGGCTCTATCGCTGTCTCCCAGCTGTCTCTAAACCCCAGATCAAGGTAATAAAACACCCAAGCCATTAATTTCTGGATTTATTCAGCCTTTATTTACACTCAGCCATGCCAAGGGTTTTTACCAGTAACCAGGAGTGTGGTTAAGCCTATATGCAAGTCTTTACTGTAGAGCACAGGGCTCTCTTTATCTGGGCACATGGAGTGCTGCCACTTCTTCCTCTGGAAACAGAGATAATATGTGGACCCCCGGCTAAATGTTACATACCAAACCCATGCAGGTTATTTATCCTTTCGTGCTAAATTACAATTTTTATTGGTGTAATAACATCTGTCAGCTTGAGGGAGAGAAAATACACATTTGTGGGTAGCTCATAGTTGTGCCAAGGACTCAGATTTGATGCTTCATATATATGTAGTGTTGTCAAAATAATCTATGTCAATATCTATCACTGATGTGAAACCCTGTGACTTTCTACTCACCTGGATTTATCTACAACTTTATTTAGTGGATTTTAGTAGTACTGACCTCCTTTGAGTCACCACCTGCGAACGGCGCCCAGGAGAGTCTGTAAAGTACTATGTCATCAGCCGAGTGATCCCAGCTGACCTTAAAGCTGTCTGTACCAACACCACTGGAGCGTAGGTTCAGAGGCCCGGGAACTGGAGCTGAAAGGCAGAGAGAAACTTCACTCTAGATTTTTTTTAACCTTTTACATACTTTCACATAGCAGCTTTAATCATTCTGAAGTAAAACTGCAAGTTGATAATAAATACTGTACACAGTGTCCTGCACTGTTTTTTCCTCCTACCCGTGCCTCCCACTGAGAAGCTTGGCTGCTACTGCAACTGCACTGCATGATGAGCTTTCATGGAAATGCTGCATGAAGCATTTAGTGTCACGGTGTGACCACATTTAACCTAGTGTAAATGCTAATCCAAACAGTCTCTGTAGTTTTAATTGAATATGCATTTCCAAAAACGCCAACAGCTGCAAAACACTGAATGTCCACTCTGGTTGCACCAAGCCAGAGTAAAAATCAAGCTGTGTCCGTGTGGATGTCATGGGAATGCTATGAAAAACATGTGGTATTTGCCATATAACCATGAGCTATCCTCAGTTTGGAACATGGTGAATCAAACTGCTACTTTCCTGACTGTAGGGGCTAATTTTTGCACATTTAAACTGTTAGTTCAGCAATTATCTTACCTCCAAATTACAAAAACACTGACGCACAGCATTTCAGTGTGAACTCGAATGATGCAGGTTCCCTCAATTTCCCACTCCGCCACTCAAAAAGCTAAAAAAGTGCTAACGTATTTGTATTAGTTCATAAAGTTCCCTTTTTTAAACTTGGGTCATTGAACAAAGTTTTCCAGCAGATAAATAAAAATCAACGTGGCTTTTTAGATTGAGTAGTTTAATAGTTTCTTGCCAGATTTACATTTCTTTTAGCTGACGGAGCACTGGAGCCCAACTGCTTGGGGCTTAAAGGGGTATTCCTACAAATCAATATCTGTTAGCGGGACGGAATAGTCAGGGACAGTGAAATGACCTTTTAATGTAACTGGTCTATTATGCTGATATGTAAATGAAATGGGCAGACTGCCAAAATAGCAGAAGGACCAGCACAGGTGATAAAATTCAACAGTGCTTTGCACCAAGAGAGAAATAGTTTTGCCTTCTTGAGGCTTTGATACAATTATTGAAACAAAATTGTCCTCAGAAAAAAAGGGGACTGGGAAATGGAGGCAGCAGCACTGATGTGGATGACAAACTGAACAATAAAAACAAATGTACTTACTACTGGCCATCAACTCTGTTTTCACTGACTCACTGGTAAAACACACTGGAAGCGTTTTCTACACCTGTCTCACGCTGCAGAGAGAATTCCACTATATCACATGAGGCAATCCAGGCTGAATCCATGAGACCAAACCCTTTTTTTTTTTTTGTTCATGTCCATTTTCCCTTTTAGTGAAGCATAATCGCCACAGTCAGCTGTTTAAATCACACAAATCCTGTTGTTTTCTGTTATGACTGACCAGGCTGCTTGAGTTTCACTTTCTACCTCTAACAAGCCGGGGGAAAAAGAAAAAAAAAAATCAATAAAACAACAGGCTAAAAACGTGACTTCTCTTTGATGATCTAACTATTTTTGACTAGTACACTTGTCTTGCTGGTCAGTCTGGTAAAGATTCGTCGCGCTGCTGTCCTGTTGTCAGATAGCTGTCCTGATGACTTTTAAACACACACACAATGCTGCGCTCACATCTCTCTTCCACTGTGTTTCACCAATCAGTTAACTAGCTCGCTACGCTAACTACTCAGCTATAACTAAAGCATCTGGCTACCGGATGGGTGGCAGTTTCTTACTGGTAGTGAATCGATCGTTGAGTGGCTCTGACTGGCCCTCGCTGTACAAGGCAAAGATGGACACTGAGTACTCCATCAGAGGCGTCAACTCGCTGAGGTCATAGGAGTTCACTGGGCCCACCTCCACCTGCGGGATACACATAACATATCAGGAAAAAAAACACTATTATGTCTGTACAAACACTGAACAGTTCTATCAGAGTCAGCTAAGACAAGTCTCACTGGTTTTCAAGGTTTCTAATAGTGTTTACATAACTGAAAGATTAAAACACCTAGCTTGGCCAACAGTAACACCCACTGATTTGGTGAACACACAGCACAAGTCGGAGAAACTCATCCGACCTGTGCTTTTGCATACTCGCACACAAATCATTCCTGTGTAATAACACTATCTGTATATTTTTAAGGGCGGCATGGTGGGTCAGCGGTTAGCACTTGTGGTGCCAGAAGGTGCCTTTCTGTGTAGTCTGCATGTTCTCCCTGTGTGGGTTCTCTCCAGGTACTCCAGCTTCCTCCCACAGCACAGAGACATGCAACTTAGGTTGATTGATGACTCTAAGTTGCCCATAGGAGTGAGTAAGGGTGTGTGTATGGTTGTTTGTCTACATGTGATAAGACTGGCAACCTGTCTTGGTGTACCCCGCCTTTCGTTCAATGTCAGCTGGGATTGGCTCCAGCCCATCCAGCAAACCTCTTCAGGATAAGCGGTAGAAATAGTAGATGGATAGTATATTTTTAATGATGATTTATATTGGTAGTCTTTAGTTTTCATTACTGAAAGGAACACTGCATAAAGTTATGGTCCTCTTTGTTCCCATCTTCATTTATCTTTTAAACCTTTTCAACACAGATACAGTGTCTAATATCATTATTTTAAACAAATCACATCTGAAACAAATAACATCATAGAGTCACCCAAGTCTCACACACCTCCTCTGTGATCCGTCCGTCTGTCTTGACCCACACGATGCGGTAACCTTCGACTCCTCGGGGCGCTGGGTCCCAGCTGATGTGGGCGGAGTTATGAGTGATGTCAGAGAGCTGGAGGTTGCTGGGAGGACTCAGTGGTACTTAAGGAAGAGAAAGAACAAGTGTTTGAAGAATGTTTGTATGCCTGTGCAATTCTAGCTTTGTCAGAATCAGTTTGAGTTGGAGACTTTGACAGTGGGGACATTTTTAGAAAGAGAAGGTGTTTTGTCTGAGCCTCACCTCTCCTGATTGAGGACTAGGACTTGGTTTAAGATTTAAGATTAGAATTAAAGGATAAAGCTTAATATGTCTGTGCAGGGGCATTCCTCACATGTAGTTTCCTGGTTTGTAACAGGGTCACTGGTCTCCTCTCCAAACATGGCATAAACAGTGACAGTGTAGTCCGTGTGAGGAGTCAACCCGTCGAGCTCCAGCTCTGTCACTCCATCCGACAACTTTATCTGTGAACAAAGATGTGCAAACAGACACACACTTCAGCACTTAACATAACATCTGGACTCTGTTGCCAAGTTGCTGTTTAAAATGATCTGATTATGTATTTATTTATTCTGTATCTCTGACTCAGCCGCTTCTTTCCATCATTACCTCCACCTCATCCAAATCGCCATCAGCAGTAGGAGGCGCATAGAGCAGCAAGTAGCCAGAGACTCCATCCACACTGTCCCATCTTGCTTTCATAGAGCTGTGAGTAACATCAAACAGCTGGAGGTCTGTCACTGTGGGAAGAGCCACTGCACACATACAAACACAAACAGCACAATTCAAACAAGGCATAATCATTAAATTCGAGTTGTATACAAAGACCTTTGAGTTGGCATCAAGTAAGCTTTCAGTCATATAAATAGTTATAGTGTCACTCCACACAGTTTTGCCAAGAATTTAATTTTGTGGTAATTTTTGTGGGGAAAAAAATCGTCTTATCTTGACTGATGTTTTTACTTTCCTGTCTTTATGAGCGCATCATTTTCACTATGTCTGACTTCCCTGTCCGTCAAACCTTTAAGCCACTGTCATTAACTCAGACCTAAAATGTTGACTGAAGCACTGGTGTGACATTTTATATGTACATTTCTGAATGATTGTTTGTGTGTGAAGATCAACTTGCAGGTTGTTTCTGATCCTCTCAGAGCTTCGCTTGCTTCATTTGCATACACAGCAAACACAGCTAGTTGATACTCAGTGAGCAAGCTGAGATGCTGCAACACCGCTGACGTCTCGCTGCCGTCCACTACAGCCTGGGGGTGCAGAAGAGGAGGTGTGAAAGTTGGATGGAAGGGACAGACAAGAGAAATGGACAGGAGAAGAGGAGAGGAGGAGTGGGGGGACATCCAGTAGAAAGGAAGGTAAAATCAAATAATGGAGCCATCAATGCAGACAAATTGACAAAAGAAAAGGAAGGAAGGCAGGTTAGGAAAGGAAGGAGGGGCAAATCACTTTACTGGATAAGGTACAAATGTTTAAAGCTAAAGAATATTTTTTCATTTTGAACTAAACGGGTGACAGCTGTGATACAGATTAGACATGGGCTGCACCAGCTGGAAACATCTGTGGATCCAGAACATCTGGTCTCTGTAAAACCAGCTAAGCAAAAGATTTAATACCATAGTATCTGTGGTCAAATGTTCTGGAAAATCAAGCAGGTGCCTGGATCAGCCCAAGTACAATGTCTAGTGAGCCTTCATTACCTGCATGGATGTTCAAGGGAGTTGTGAATGGAAGGATGAGAATGAGAGGTATGGATGAATTAACACCAGCAGCATCACCACAAGGAACAGCACAGCTCTAATTATACACCTGGCAGAAGACCCCAGATAACTCCCAGTGGTGTGGTAAATATAATAGAAAAGTGAAGTGCATGCCAGGCCACCTCTCTATGCTCCTACACAGTATGTGTTAGGCCTTGCTTATGCGTTTAAGCATATGCAGGTCTAGCTTCAGACAGACCTGCATAGACCTTTAATAGCTTCATTATCAGATTTTTTTAGGCTGTGTTTGCAATGACATGAATATTTCTTATTATTATACAGTGATAAATTTCATCGCAGTGGTTCTTGACTTCTTTGGTTTGTCCCTTGTTAAACTTGGTTTAAAAAAGCACAGTAAATACAGTGGAGTTCTCAGAATGTAGGTTTACCTCTTGTGGTTCTCCTCCGTGAACAGGATAATAAACCACTCTGTATTTCTCTACATTTCCAGGGGCATGGCTCCATGAAACCCGAAAGCTACGGGCTGTGACCTCTGATGTCAACAGGTCAAGTGGTGGTCCCGTCTTCTCTGGTATGTGTTCTGAAGAAATAAAAGGAGAGGAAAAAGGAAAACATACTGAATCAGACTACAGAGAATTAGTCCAAATGAGGAACTAGAAAATCTTACATGCACTGAGCAAAGGAGGTAATGCTGAAATCTAACTACAACAAATCAGACTGGCTTTAAGAAGTCTCTTTAAAGATATCACCTTTTCTGGTTTTCCATCCACGGTATAGCTACTACTTCACAGTGCAAAAAAGCTTATCAGCGATATTACATATGCATGACTGTTGCACAGTCTTTGTCTTCAGTGTCCTTACTCTCCTTGATGTCTTTATCTTGCTGCTCCACTTGCTCACACACTGTTCTGGTTAGTCCTTCGACTATGGAGCTCATGACGTTGAAGTCGGCAACATTGTAGACATGAGTGTTGGCCGGCTGTGATGCAATAGAGTGCAACTCATTCTCATCAGCATTCTTGACACCTGGAAATTGTTAGGATTACAACATCAATCTGACCCTCAACTGGACAACCAGTCTTCGTGTGAATGCAGTAACATACAGAAAAGTTCAAAGAAACAATAACAACAGGACAACAAGCAACACAGGTGCCAATCCTTACCAATAGCAAACAGCTCAATGCCAGCACTGCGCAGACTCTCTGCAGGTGGTATGACATCATCCTGCGACTTCCCGTCTGTGATGAGGATCCCGATCTTGGGTACACCAACCCGTGAGCCAGACTCGGGCTTAAAGCAGTTCTCTGAGATATAAGTCAAAGCAAGGCCTGAAGAGACAGAGAAAAAATAAGTAGGGGTGTAACACTACATTTAGGTCACGAGACGATACACAATACTGGGTTCACAAGAACAAGGTGAGACTATATTTTAACACTTTTTACGAATTCTCCAATGACTGGAAAAATAGCCTTTTATTTGACTAAAAGTCACAAAATGAAAAACAATGTAGGGGCATTTTGAAATGTTTTAACTAATCCTCTTGTAATGAATGTCACTTCAGTTCTACTTTGTGAGGATGAATTATCATATGCAGTAAAAGACAAAATAATATGCAAGCAGTGTTAAAGGTTTTGCCACAAACTCAACTGGCTTCTCTCCTGTATGATTTCACCTGAGCCTCTACACACCTTACAGCTGCATAAACTGTGCCAGGTGTCCAACTTTAAATCGAAGCTTCCAGAACATTTGACCACAGAATTACATTCTAATTGTGGCAGTAGCTCAGGGGGTGGGAGGTGTCACACTTTCATTTTTTTTCAATTAAATATAGTAATGCTATCGTGCTGTTCATCTGACCTGTCCCTTCTGCACTAGCCCTTCCACAGCAGCAGCATGTTTGCTGCTACCTTCCTCCTGCATCTCTCTGCCTGACTCTCTCTTGCTGTTTCAGAAGCACTCGTTGAAACCAGTAAATATTTGAAATGAATCGAGTGGCTCACTAATGACACTGATCAGCTTTTCCATGTGTTTTTCAATATTCCCCTGGAGTGAGGGGGCAAACATTCAGTGTCAGAGTTTATGAATTAGCAGCAACTTTATCCACATGTAGAGCAGTCCATATACGACCATATACAGTGTGTTGACCTCAGCAACAGCTGTATTCCAACTCACTAGAAGAGTTGGATCTCCGCAACCAACAGTGTTGTGATAATAAAAACAAACAGAGAGGATGAGTCAGTCACAGATAGTCCATGGACATGGTTTTCATGCGTTTCTGTGTGTGAGAAAGAAAAACAGAGCGGGGCATAGAGGGACTGAGCGCATACATGCGCTGGGCATGGCACTACATTGAAATAAGATTTAATCCATTTTAAATCAATATGTAGCAGCCACTGTTGATATTGTGGTGGCCTGCCACAAATAAATCCAAGTATGGGAAACAGTGATGTGTGACCTTCTAACTGAACTCATTTCCACAAACTGAAAATAAAAGTGGTGGGGGCATCTTCTATGCTAATTTCCCTCTCACACTCCACCATCCTGGCTGCTGCTCTCATTCTGTTATGTACCGATATTGTGAGACAGCCTTCACCTTGATAAGAACTATCGTCACGTTTTAATATTGTGAGATCTCATGGCACGAGATCTCGTCAAACACCTAACAATAAGGAGAGAAATGAATGAAGACAGAGGCTGAGGAACCAGGGTGGACGGAAGGAGAAAGCCAGGTGAAAAGGGAAAAGTCATTTAAGGAACAGAAAAAGAAAACTGCATGGGAAGCAAGATTGACAAGTATGAAACTCTACTTTGGTATCAGTGAAATCCCGCACCTGTAAGTGTGTTTCCTCCTTTGTAGGGCAGATTCTTGACGGCATCAATGACGGCATCTTTAGTGGAGAAAGCATTTAGATGCCACTCTATCCTGGGATCACCACTGTACTGAGCCAGACCTGCAAACACACAAAGCATTTAAAACTGCAATTCTAACCTGTCACTTGTTTACACTGTTTCTTCAATTCAGCAAGCAAGCAGACAAAAAAACAACAGCATTTCTTGACATACATATATGAGCAAATATTTGTATCAAAACATTCCACTGACAAACACCAGAAGACCATATTCAGCTGTTCAAGAAGCAGGGACCTACCTATCCTTGTCTTATTAATACCAACATCAAAAGCATTGACCAGGTTTTCCAAGAACATGCGAACCAGTCTGAAGTTAACCCGACCAATACTCCAGGATCCGTCGACAAGGATGACAATGTCTGCGATGGCCTCAGTGTAGCACACAAACTGATCAGCTGGGCAAAGAGAAGACAACAAGGTCAACCAGTAGCTGCTGACAATGTCTACGGTAGTAACACAAAACACTTTAGAGAAGTGAGGAGGGATTTAGGCCGTGACAGGTTGTAATGGACATGAACCAGCATGTGGTCCCTACAGAAAAGGTCACGTCCCCACAATACGAGTGTGCAGAGAGGTTTTGGATCCCACAGTGTGAGTAATACCAAGCATACACACACATACACACCAGGATTAGCACAGAAACTCATGCATAAATGCCAGATATATACATATACATACAGTACAACTACAGGATCTATATGTGGTTCATTCATCATAATTTCATAATTGCAAAACATGCATCATAAATCCTTTATCTGTGCAAGCCCGGATAAGCTGAATTTACATTAAAAAAAATTAGAGGAAACCAGTTGCCTTAAAAAAAAGTCATGTAATAAAAACTTGAGTGAATTCAACTTAAAAATTTAAGATAAAGTTCATTCAACTTAAAATCCTTTATAACTTCTTTGCCCTGTTATTCCACTTGGAAACTTAAGTTCAGTGCACTAAATTCCAAGTTGATTTAACTTAAAAACATTTGTAATATCAATTGCTTTACCCAGTCATTCTGCTTAATACCATAAGTTACAGTAAAATGTTATTTGTTTAATTTTAAATAATTAACATTTAACAGATGTAAAAAAAAAAAAATACAAAACAAAATTGTTTTTCTGTTTTATTTCAATTTAGAACAAGAAATTCAATAACATTTCACATAAAACAACATTAAAGTATAGCAACATCATGCCTTTGCTATTTTAAGAAATGCCACTTATTGGTGCTTCAGCATGTGAACATTGTAACCGTCAATTTCTCAGTATCACATCAAAACTCCGGTCTGATAGGGTATGCTGAACTCTTTGGTCTGCTGTTCTATCAGTGTGTGGAAACAAAGTTTTGAACAAATGAACAATGATATGAGTTCCCCTTCTGGTGCTAATGTCAACAAGTCACAAAACATAAGCTGCAAGCAGTGCACAACAGTTTTCTATCTTAAAAGTGTAACATTACATACTATGCACTGATATCTGGAGCTATTCAGAACCGTTTTACACTGAAAGCTGCTTTTTCAAAGTTTGAATTTTGGGCACCAGCTCACTTCTACCCTGAGCATTACCTGCTGAATAAAGCTGAAAGTGTTTTTCCATGCACTTGGGGTACTCCAGGTGCACAGCATATAACAATCCAAAAAGGACACAGAAGGCCTGGGGCAGGTTGGCCAGTTCGTCCATCACCACATTCCCTTCTAAGATGATGCCCACTCTGAATGGGTTGAGCTGAGGATTTTGAGCATTACCACAGAGAATTCCCACTGGAGTTTCACTGTACAGGTCCTTGTCAGTTCCATCCTAAGATAGAAAAAAACCCATATTGGCAAGGAGAGAACATAATTATGCCTCTTAGATAATGCTGTTATCCACCAAAAGGTACCTCTGACTATTTATAATGAAAAACATTGTATGAACTACACTGACAGTAATTATTAAAAAAAAGATAATGCTGGCCTTAATCTGTACATTGCATGTACTGTTTGCAAAACCTCTCTTCCCCTCTGTACTCTTTTTCTCCTCTACTCTCTTCTCTTCCTCAACAAAATTAAAATAAATAAGTGAGAATCCAAGATTATCTCTAATGTTAATTTGAGCCCATTCACACATTTGTGGTGAAATCTTTTCAGTTTCTGTTGTGTCATAATTCAATAATGCAGATAGTCAAAACTGTTTTTTAGTTCAAATTTGTTAGGCCATAAAATAAAAGCCTGGGAAACACCAGATACTGATTAAATGATTCTGAAAATTAGCAGCAGGCAGTCTGCATTAATGGCCCAAATTAGAAAAAAAAAAAGGCCAATAACTATGCACCTGCAACATTTACAACAAATTAAGCTTCTTACAGTGCAGGTCTTGAAGAAAGCAGAAGGAATATCCCCCAAGATGACTGGCAGTCCCCGAAGACAAAGGCACCTGATGTCTATTGGCTCAGTGGTCTGGAAGATAGTGGGCATAACTCTAAAGATATTCACATGTATTTCTTGAATACATTCCAGAATTTCCAGATTTTATGACTTTATTGGAAAGCATAGGAGAGGACAAGAGGAGATGAAATGAGAGGAAAGGGAGAGGACAGATGGGTAAAGTATAGAAGAGGAGAGATGATAGTAGAATAGAGCGCGAAGCAGATAGGACAGGAGAAAAAGGAGACAGGAGATGAGGCAAGGGGGAGATTAAAGAATGAAAAGTCAAGGGGAAAGGATAGAAGAGAGCAAATGGGAGAAAAGAAGAGATGAAAAGAAAGGAGAGAAAGTAAATGCACAGGGAAAGGAGAGGAACAAAGATAGAGGAATAGACTGATGTAGACAAGTCAACCCACCTTTGTCTGACCCAAAGGCCCTGCCAAAAGCTGGCAGGGCCTTTGGGTTTTAACAAACAGGCCCATCAGGCTTGGAGAGAAATGGTCTAGTGCATCAAAGAAGTCCTCCCTGAGATTTACCCCACCACCCTGTAGAACCCGTAACAAACCTGGAACATAAAACACAGCAAACCATGTATACCACCATAAACTGGGTGTTAAGGCCGTAGAAGGGTTTAACTAATGTTCATTTCTGATTAGCTAAGTAATGTAATACGCCGCCTGGGCATTTAATATTACCATGTCATGGTTTTGTAATGTGCATAAAATTAGCCATTTCGCCAGCATTTTAATTAACGGAAAAATTAAATAACACGGGGTGGGATGATAAGAGTAAGAGGTGAAAAATGTACTGTCAAACTAGTTAAAACAACGTTTTTTACTGCTTACAAATTGCCCATGTAGTGATAAGCTAGCTGACGGCTAAGTGATAAGCTAGCTGACGGCTAAGTGATAAGCTAGCTAATGTAGCTTAACAGATGAAAAATGCCCACCAAAGTGGTTACCATTAAAACAATGTTTACACTGATCACATACAGCACCATCCGGTGAAAAAAAAACACTAAAAAAAGCAACAGGTTCCTACTTCTCACCAACAGCACTCACCAGATTCAGTGCACCGTGGTACAGTAGTCATACCGTCGCCATCCTCTGTCCTTTCTTCTGTGCTGGAGGCAGCCCTCGTCCGTTTCTTGGCAACGGGCTCAACGCGGGACCGTGTCCGCCGACAGCGCCCATTGAGCGGGCCAGGTTTACATGAGTGATAAAAGTAGCTAATTTAGCTATCAGGTGAAAAACGTCCCGTCGAACTGATGTTTCCACGTCTCACAAACAGCCTCTCTAATGAGAGAAAACAACAAAAGATTAACAGCTGAAAAACTCACTTATCCAGTAAAGCGTCCGAGTGAAATAACGGTAATCCCGCGTTCAAGTTCCCATTATGCATTGCCTCAAGAAACAGCCAATCACCGAGCTTCACATTCTGGCTCTATGGGGGGGAAAGAGGTGTGGTCATGACTAAAACTTAATTAACTGATTTAACTTGGTTATTCACACATTGCATTACTATCATATGCAAGTATATTCTACTACAAATGAGTATAATATACTTATATTTGGTAGTAATGCAATGGATCTTAAATCATTAGTGTACGTTGTAATTAGATATGAAATCCGTGTTTACAGTGTACAAATGTAATAGTGAATCATCTACAATGTGCTAATAAAATTGGACTTACTGGTTGGAAAACCACTTAAAAAGAATGCTGACTCAGGACGAATTACTTTGTACTTTTGTTTACAAGATTCACAAAGCTGTAACTACAGATAACTGTTAAATAATGCTGAATAAAACAAAAAATAAATAAATAAAAAGAATTATCTATTGAATTGCTTTTATTAGCCAAGTATAATAGACAAACAAGGCATTTGTCTCCGGTACAGAACAGAGGCAGCCATCTGCAGCACTAAGTGACACACACACACCCCAGTGGTGATGCTGTCCCTGCAGGGTGTTGCTCTGGCCATCGGGGCAACTTGGGGTTCAGTATTTTGCCCAAGCACACTTCGACATGTGGATTGGGGAGGACTGCTCCACCTCCTGATATACAGCTGCCCCTATTTGGTGGCAAATGGAACGTTTTATTCCCAGGTCTTATACCGTCAGAAAGCCACACTAGTATTAATAACTACTTTGTGCAACATATTGCTCAGACAAGCACAAATACAAACTGCAATGTCAAACATGCTTTTGGCAAGTCAATTTATTGTCATTTTGCCTAGAAAAATGTAACGGGTATAATACTGTGCTAGTTGTTCTATCATATAGAGACAACACTATCTCAAGTATTAAGTCCATAAAAGATGCATTGTCTAGCCATAGCCCACGCTGGTATTTGTTTCAGGAAGTGATTTTCCAGATAGTTTTCCACTGCCGTCTGTGTCTGACTGAACCATCCATCTGCTACACAGGCAGACGGAGGAGGGAAGAAAAGACAACTGCCATACCTGATGACTTGCACCATATGCTATGCAAATATCATCTAAAGCTGAGGTGCTTTTATAAAATACACATCAGGCAATGCTTTGAAAAAGCAAAGAAAACAATGAATTAGGATTTTTTTTAAAGAAAGGAGGACTCTTTTAAACATCCTACTGTATATGATGCCCTTTAAGGTCCCCTAAAATGGAAATGCCTATAACTGTAATTACTCTACTAATCCAAGTAGAAAAATACATTATAGCTTATTTTGGAAGTTTCAGTAAATGGCAAAAGGCAGGGAGGCCATCTGCCATTTACTTAGATTAGTTGATACAGGAGTAACTGATACAAATCATAACATTATACTAACTTATCAATATGTGACCCATTTAAACTGAAAAGTGCAACAGACAATATTAAATACACGGTTAATACATTTAATGTGACATTTGAACAAAATGCTGCTAACATGTTAAATTACATTTCATAAAAACACAGCTCAAATTACTAAACACTGTGCCCGTAACGCTGGGCTAAACAATCAGATAACTGGCTATTTTAGGTTGT